GGCAGTGTGACTAGTACATGAGATACATATGTGAATGATAGATGTGATGGTCAGAATTGTGCAGCTGTGTGAGTTTTCTGCAGGCTGAATGAGCGCTTGTGATTGGTCAGGACTTGATGTGTGTTCTGCCGGGTTGTGTAATGTTTTTGATGATGTAATATACAGTTGCTAGGCAGTGACAAGCCACTCATGCAAGCGGCTGTGCCTGCATGTATACTTTTGTACTGGTCATGCAGGACTTATGCGCCTTGCTGCAACCTGCTGCACCTGCATGTATACTTTTGTATTGGTCATGCAGGACTTATGCGCCTTGCTGCAACCTGCTGCACCTGCATGTATACTTTTGTATTGGTCATGCAGGCCAGCCATTCCTTGCCTGTGTGTGTGTGTCTGTGTATGTGATGTCCTGTCTATGTATCCTTGGGGGTTGTAAATGATGGGTGTCAGTGCCAGTAATGATGTAGAGTAAGAGAGGGTAGAGCTATGAATAAACTGTAAGTGGCTAGTAAGGGTATTGTGAGCCATAGATTTTGAGTCTGTAGAGATATAGAGTGATACTAAAGAAAAAAATAGAGAAAATAGACTAAGAAAGAGAAAATGAATAAAATTTTTATTTTAGCGATATGGTAAACCATAAAGCATCCCACAGCAGTTGATTGAGTCTTTCCTGTAGTATTGGGTGGGAAGGGCTGCATCTAGGGTAGATCTGGACTGCACATACAATGTCCTGTGCGCCCATTAGGGGGTGTCAAATATAAGAAATCCACCATTATAAACCAGTTACTTTGTAAAAAAACAAGTTTTGTATCAATGGGCCCCAAAAGGGGTCAAATGAAGAACCAACATGTATACAAGATGGTGGATTATTTCAAAACAGTCAATTTAATGATGGTGGATGTTCAAGATATGTGTATTGTTTTATGTAATGTATGATTGATTTGTGAGTCACCCAAAAGAGATATGATTTTTCCCCCAGGATTATGAAGCAAAGATAGTTTGTGTTCCCTGCTTTTCCAAGCTGTACTCTTAGAATTATATTGGTGCCATTGAATGAAACAGAAACAACCAAATTTTCTTTTGCAATCTTGCTTTAGTATACTATGAGTATGGTGCTGTCTACTGAAAGTTCCATATTTTTGCGGATTTAAAGGAAGGGTGGGATCCAAGCAGTACCAGCTTGGGTGATGATCCAGAGGTACCCTCAGCCACACCATCTTTGGTGTTAGGTTCACATGGTCAACAATATGTGATTTTATGTTTAATGTTAGTGGTATTATGTAAATCCTCATGACTGTGTGTCAACAAATGGGGCCACTCCGGCACTTTTAAGCAGTTTGTGGCCGCTTGATGTGTTGTAGTTTAGCCCAATACAGTGTAGAATAGCAAAAATTTGAAAATACTTCAGCACTAGTGCTCAAAAATGACACAGCTGTGCTAACACTGTTATGAAAGCAGTCCAATTTTGCACTCAGGTTCTGGTAGTTGGCATGGATCTTGATGACCCACTGGTTATCACATTGCTGGGAAGCATTTCAAGTTGGCTGTTGAATGGGAGGCTGGGGAGGTAATGAGTTGCATTGAAAAGAATCTTCAAAAGTTGTTGTTGCTTTTTGTACTGTGTTTCCATGCTGTCATTCAGGGAAAAATCACAGGACGTGAAATGCTTCTTTTCTTTTTGATGAACTTAAAGTTATGAAGAAAGTAAACTAAGTGCCTTGGAATGTCATCCTAGAGCAGACCAGCAATGGTCTGATACGTAGCTTGGTGAAAAAAAAATCCTCCAAAGATAAACCTTCAAGGCAAGAAACAAAACTTCAAGGCAAGTCAAGTGGTAATGGTCCAAAATCAAATTTGATTAAGAGACCACCATTGAAAAATTTGTTGCCTGATGTTTCTCTTGGACTTGAACAGAAGATGCCAAAACAAAACAAACAAGCCAACATATCAGACAACTGAACAACTATACATTATCATTAATTGCACATCAAACCTAACACAATGTACGTTTCTAGCTTTGTTCTATCCGTTGATCATGTCTAGGAGTCAGAGGATACATTACAGATATGTGAATGAGTCTAGCCACTTGCAATCTTATTGTTTGCTTCAGCCAAATTGAATTTAAGTTACAGTTAAATGGTGATGTAAGGATCAAATGAACAAACAAAATACGAATAGAAAACTGCCTTTTGACTATGTAAAACGACATCTATAGCTCCGATTACTCGCAATGCAAAACAACAAAGTGGAACTTTACACGAAGATGACTGATTGACCGCATGAATAAATACAAAATGTACATATCGTTCAAGTCCTACCCTGAGCTAATTGTACAATAGCATAAACGTTAGCGACGCAACAAATACAGAAGATGAGACCAACAATGATCTTGGTGGCCAAATTGTTTTCAAATGTAGATTCATTTGAAGACATGAGCGCCAGCGAGCCTTCGTTTTCATTTTCGCCAGGTGGTTTAGTAGGATGTGTGGTGGTGGGAGAGCCGATCGGTGATCCTGAGGGGAGTGAGTGGTAATTGGGCATGGTCATCGTCTGTGGATCTGATGTAAAGATGATCAAAGGTAGAACGACAAATCTGAGGGCACAAATGTAAAAGTTATTTTCAGACCTCAGTATGACTTCTTTCAGAGTGGTTGCAAGGCGAAAAACAGAGAAACGAACGGTAAAACCATACTCAGCGCCACTTGACTTCCAATCAAGAGGTCATCGACGCCCTGCGGTCCGACGGATGCAGCCACAATGGCAGAAGGAACGATTCCGATTAATCTGGTGACCAGTCTTCGGACGAATGGTCGAGTGCGCCATTCGATAAATCCCTCAGAGACAATCTGGCCGGCCAGGGTGACCGTAATAGAAGCGGCTTGACCAGCCACCAATAAAGCGATGGCAAAGATATAGCCTGATCCGACTCCAACGCGACTCGTCAGTAACTGATGAGCCGATGCTAGATCAGCCACCTGTGAGGGGCCATCCGATCCACTGTAATAGAACGCAGCAGCCGCAACGATGAGAATAGCTGAATTGATAGCTTTTGTTGTTCCCCATGAGACGCGAGAGGTTAGTGTGATGTAACTCAAGTCCGAACGAGTTCAGTGATACACAGATATTCTTCAAGGGCTTACGCAAAGCAAGCGTGAAAAGGGATATGGCGACATCGAAGCTAGCGTGCGCAAGATGGGCTTTACAATGTTCAACGGAACTGACGTAGTCGTTGACGGGTGAGGTCTGGTGCAAACGTAGGCCAGCTGCGCGAGCGATTTGGAGGGAGGGCAGATCGCCAGATTGTTGAATGGGCGAGAGATTTGGAGAAGTGCTAGGGTCAGGTGATCGCCCTAGTTGTGTCTCTTTATCCTCCATAGGCGAAGGCTTTAATCGATCCGAAATGCAACCTTGGAACCTGTACACGAATGAGATTCCAACTGGTTTTGAGAGCAGCACTGGGAATAAAATGGACTGCTGTTCTGCTTACCTAGGAATATGGAGTGAGGCATAACTGTCGCGCCTGTCGAATAAATTGATTTTGGTCAATTTTCCCTACAACATAAGAAAACTTTGGATTTGCACCCAGACCCAGGGAAAACTTACCAACTATGCTGACTGCAAGATACAATCCGCCATTGACAATCATGGTCCGACTGGGCAAGTAGCCTCGGAAAGTATCCCCCCAATCTGGCTGGACGTTGACGATCAAGACGATAAAAGAAACTAGAACGATCAGGACGAGTATCGAGACCGAGAATTCGAAGATGTGCATGGAACGGCGGCTGCGACTGGAGATTTCTGGATAGGAATTGAAGAAGGCTAGGACTATGAAAACGTCGGTTGAAGTAAGCAGGACGCCAACCCAGAGCGGCAATCTTGGAATCAACCTAATTCATAATTGGGCATTGCTCAGCTCGACTCTGTGGGTTTTCCTTTCCTCTTGAAGAAAAGAGATAGGACAGAACAACTCGAACATTTTGAGCGCAATCGCGGAACCAAGCAATTCAGCTAAATCGGTAAATCTTTGCAGCATGGGTAGGAAAAAGATGACTCAATTTCAGATAAGGCAATACTTGGATGAAGATTGCACAATGAAGGGGACATACATGATTCCAGCCTCACAAACAGCATACAGAGGATATAAACAAGCCCACCGCCACAGTTTCGTGTGTGTTGGACGATCATAAAACCTTGCTCTGCAGTGCTGTGCCAGGTCTGTGATAAATCAATGCCCACGTCGGCCGTCAATGGTGAATGATGTACTTTTGTTTATCTGTGCACTGACTAACCTTTCCCCGTAACGTAACCCAACCGGGTTGCAAGAACCTGAAGCACTATCGCCATCATCGAAGCCGAGAGAATTACGAATAGGTGGGCATATCCAAATGTGGAACCGGCTTCTAAATCAGTTGCCCACTGAAGAAGCCAAAATTAAAGGAAATGAGATGTGATAGGATCAGAGGTAGCAATACTGAGAGAAACGAATTCTGCCTTACGTTTCCTGGATCACAATAAGCTACTCTAGAAGAATAAGCAGCAAGCCAGATAAAATGAATAAAATGACGTGTCAGTACGACATTAATCAATTTTTTCTCACTAATAAAAGCGTGTAAAATGTGAACAGGACAGGGCAAGAAGAACTGACGCGGCCACTATGCCAGGTCCGATGAATTTGAGTTGATTGCGGAATATCTTGTTCGCTTTCCAGACCCGTTTCCGTCTTGGGGCCAGCCGAGCAGCAGCAGCAGCTGAGGAGGAGGATGGATGGTCATGTTCGGTAGGATCTGATGAGTCGGCGATAGCCATCCCCGATGCGATGTCGATTGGAATGGTTCAGGTGTTCTCGTGATTGGTGGTAGTGTGCTTTGGTGGTGTGGTGGTCTCTGGGGCGGGGAATATCCGGGTTGCCGCAGGATAAAGTCTATTGTGTGCCGAACCCGAGCCGATTCAACTCGTCGGATAATTGCGCCACAATCCAAAGTACACTGCCAGGAAACGCTTCACCTCAAGATTAAATACATCTTCACACATCTCAGAAACAATTGCTAAGTCATTCCAACAAGTGAAAATCATGCCAAAATACGAGGGGCATATAGGATAGATGACACTTTCAAAAAGTACACAAGAAATGACCCATTACTTAATTTCTGGCACTGGCAGATCCCCTCAGGCTCAGGTTCTGCACAGAATTCACATATAAGGGGTTCATAATAAGCTTTTGTGAGGAGGATATCCAAGAGCCTTGTGTTAGTATTCATGTATTGTAGCTCTCTATTTTTCCTTTCAAACTCATCATTAGAATATTTATCTAGTTATGCTTGTATCTTTCTGTGCTCTCATCAGTCCAGATTAGAATATCTTTCTACTGTTTTAACTCAGTTGCAGTGCATCTTCTTTACTATTTATACTCTTGGTTTGTGGATCCAGAAATACAAACTAATTGAGTCTTTCCCTCTTTGACCCTTTCACTCATCTATTAACACCTTGGTATTTTTGAGCACCACATGGGAGGCTTAAGTTTTAGCTTAGATTAGGCTAGCTGGGCCAGCTACACTAATTTTGTCTTCTAGAGTGGGGTGTAAGAAAAATCAGCACAACACCACCAAAATTATTTTCAGATACAAATTTTTCAAAGATGGATATTTCCAAAAATGATTTGATTGTGGAGTAATCTCACAATGATTGAGCACAGGGAATCAGGAGGGAGGCAGAGACCAACTTTTTTTTGGCTGATTCTTCAAGATGAGAAGGTGAATATGAGGTAGAAATCCATGTTGGATTAGAAAGACCACATGAAGAGACCAGGAAACCCACACTGTTTGTTTGAGTTTCCCAGACTTTGATTGGAGAGGTTTCATACACTGTTGACTCTTTCTTTTTTTTTGTTGATGTTGTGTTTGTTCATGTTCATGGGAGGGTGTGACCGTGTTGGATCCATCCCTAAAAGCATTATAGAAAAAAAAGCCAGTGTGATGTGATTATGATGGATTCGTTATAACCAGCAATATAATCATTTAGGAAATGCCATTGCCAACCCTGGTCTGGCGGTCTGACTGTTGCCGTTGCCAAACCCTTGTCTGGTGGTCTGATTGTAAGTTGCCATTGAGCAGGGTTAATGTCACAATTATGACATTTGCCATTGGGTGAGCCCATGACAGTGTATGGCTGGAGTTGGAAATTTCTCCCACTCAAATTTGTCAAAGCCTTGCTTAAGGCTTGAAAGTCCTAATTCTGGATAAGCCCATAATAGAGAAAAGGGGAACTGTGGTACTAATACATGATTTTCCTCCAATGAGATGGATGGTTGTGGTGCTTCACAGAAGGATTAATGTATGACGTCATAGGATTAGGATAGCCGTTGATTGGGCACCCTTCATTTGCCCCATATTATTTGATGCAGAATCTCATGGGTTTATTGCAGCACACAATCATCTAGTGCAGGCGACGTGATACATACAAAGTCGATGGCACATGCATCGGATAGGAGGAAATACATGAGACTGTCTGTTTCCCTTGGGGAACTCTTCTGCAGCCGCGGAGGCCACCAAGAAGCTTGTAATTGCAGTCCAGCTACATCCGACACACTAGCCCAACTTTTGAACTACGTAGAAACCTGGCGAGGTGCATCCCCGCTGGAACCCATACAGACACTCGCTGACAGCACAGCTTATTTGGCCATGCAGTGGTGGACCGGCTCACCCGTCGCCTATAAAATATACAAATTCAAGGAGTATTCAAGCAAGTCCTCCGGGGTGAGCTCTGTCTGTAATCATTTGTGTATGGAGGAGTCTCTTCATCCAGACAGACGCTGCTTGGCCATCTCCATCGAGCTATCTTGATCACCATCCCACCTCTAATTAAAAACTCGTTTCCCCCACCAACCAACATCAGTCTGCCGGCCTGAAGCTCTTTTCCTCGATTGGACAATCATGGCCAACCAAACTATATACCGGTCGCCTTGGGGAAACACACTCCCTCAGCTGGAAAAGAGGCTGAACATTTGGGATTTCATACGGTCGACAATGTCAGCCGAAGCCCTGTCAAGTCCTGAACCCCGGTGCATTGATGTCGGAAGTGTAAGCGCTGGTTGTACACTTCACTACTCACCTGTTTCGTTGGCCGTTTTCTTGACACCCATATTCTTGCGCGGCTCGAACAGGGTGAATCATGGAGTTTGTCACAAATCCTCGATCACGCGGAGACCCTGGCAAAATTTTTGGTCTCTTCCTTTGGCGGCCGTCGGTCTACTTGGAACACTGGAGGAGCCAACGTTGACTACGAAGTTATTACTGTCGGTGTACTTGCACCAAACATCCCGGTATGCTTTCTAGCTAGCAAATTTGTTTTACATATAACGTCTGTGATTTGCTTGTTGTTATTGACATTGACCCATGTCTCGGTTTACGTACAGGCAATACCTATAGTGGCTTACAGCTGCATGGCAGCCGGACTACCCGTCACGCCGCTACCCGTTGGATCTTCGTCGTCAGAAATTGCGTATCTCGTCTGTCTTGCTCAATGCGAGATCGTATTCGTACATCCATCTCAACTGGAAACAATCAAGACAAGCGGCTATCCTGCCGAACGCATCATTCTAACAGAGCCCTTTGAAGGATGGGACGGACAAATCTTGCCAGACCTTCTGGTGATTGCAAGGTCACTTCCTGAGTTTACTATTGATGGGAAACATCCTATGCCAAAGCACCAGGTTGCCTTGGTAGTTTTCTCTAGTGGGTCGACCGGTAATCCTAAAGGTATTTAAATTTTCGCTTGTCATGATCAGCTACTTCATTACAAGGACCCTGGATTGTGAAATAATTCACGTTTCTTGCTAATTTAACGGACCATAGCTGTAATGATAACACATCAAAACATATATGCGCTGTTGATATGTCGGGTACTCACTTCCGGGGCTAATGTTGGTGTAGTGAGTTCAAGATCGTTTGACTGGACACCGTTTCATTGGACTTTAGACAGTGCTTCTTGACAAATTTTCCGAGTAACTAATTATTCTCGGTTAACTGCTCCCAGGAAAAGAAAACAGCTGTCATCCTTTCAGTCCTCCCTAGTACGTATCCTCATCTGTTGTGAAGCGGCCAGGCTCGCTAGCCGTGTTCAAAACAATTTTAACTCTGATTTCCTTATATCTGATCGCAGTGTAGTGCGTGAATTTAATCATTTTCGATCAACATTTTTTTTTTGAAATCGCCTAGCGACGTAGCTGATTGCTTGATTCACAACTCCAAAGCCATATTTATGGGTAAGCTGAAGTCTCACTCTTATTTGCCGAGAACGAGGACCTAATATGCGGCCGTATTCTAGATTTTTGATTGGTGTAATAATCCCCCTTTTGGATGGCGTCACACAATGTATCATGCGGAGCTGGAATGTCAAAGCCGTTTTCCGTGCCATTGCCGAGTAAGTTGGCCAGAAGAGCAGGATGAATGACTCAATTTGACCTCGTTTTTTTTTTCTTGTCCAGGTATAATATTACCACTTTGGGGCTTGTACCTACCATGGCTCTACAAATCATATCCGCGGCCGATCAGCTTGAGGATGTTGATCTGTCTTCACTTAACTCTGTCTTTGTCGGCAGCTCCGCCATAAATCCCATTCAAAAGCAAAGACTGTTTGAATTGCTCACTTCACGAGGTGCATTGACTGGTCAACAAGACGGCTCATCTATAATCGATGGTTATGGAATGAGTGAGGTATTCAATCTCGAACTGATTAAACAACTCATTTCCTTCCAATCGCTTACTCACTCTTACTTTGTAAATGGACAGACTACCTCGGCAATTACCACCTGGTCAAAAGACGGTCGGTAATCAACGCACATATGATCTTGCATTTTCTTTTTTTTTGTGAATTTAAAATGTGTAATTTTCATCTTTTATTGTTGGCTCACAGGTACTCCTGCCAGCCGTGCACGCTTAGGGACTGTCGGTTTTTTGATTCCCGGATCGGAAGCGCGTATCATTTCGGAATTCTCTGACAATCCTATGGGCGAAGACGTGCCCAAGCATACGCCTGGAGAATTGTGTCTACGTAGCCCTACAATCATGAAAGGCTATCTTGGCAATCCGGAGGCCACTCGTGCCACCTTTACAGCAGATGGATGGTTGAGAACTGGTGATAAAGTAACGTTTTCTCTCCTTCTCTCTCTTTCCTGACTAGAAGGCATTCATCCTCAAACAGGCGTGGTTTAATGAATGTAGATGAGGATTGATGCGGAGGGGCACCTAATTTACTTCGATCGTCTCAAAGACACCTTCAAAAACCGCGGCAAACAAGTTTCGCCCTCTGAGATTTCTTCTCTGATCTACAAGCATCACTCGGACCTGATTGCCGAGATCTCAGTGATCGGTGTGCCTGCTCAAGGTGATTCGGAAACGGTTGGCGAAGAGGCATGGGCCTTCTTGGCACTCAAGGTCGACTCTCTAAGCCAAAAGGAGAAGGAAAGATTGGCCGAGAGTATCAAAGCAATCACCCGGGAACAGCTTTCTATTCACAAATGGGTCGTTCGAGTCGAATTCTTGGACGAACTTCCCAAAGGCTCCACACACAAAATACTGGTCAGGGCCCTGCGAGATTTGGCAATCAAGCTCACCACTAATAAACATCAATCTAAGTTGTAAATTTCCTCATCATCATTTACTTTTATTACCCCAACAGTTTTGTGCATAGTTATTAGGAAATTTGTTATCATCCTGATCCCCTTAATACCATACAATAATTTTTCCATCCATAACTTCCTATTCATGTTATGTGATTTATTACACATCCGAATCTCTTTGAAATAGTAAATCTGTGAAGTGTATCCAAGTCAAGATTTGTACTTCAGGTTGATCATCTCATCCAAAACAATATTGTTTTTCTTTGTCAAAAATCATCATTCCAAGAACTGAAGATGTTAATCCACTGAAACACCAGCAAGAAACAAAGGCCATTGGCAGATTAAAATATACCTGAAGGCCAATGGCTTGAAGTTGAGATTTCTTGGCTGGCCATGAGTGACTGGAGGATTCATGATCGAAATTTACAAGAATCCAAAGCCAATTTGAAGGTGCTCATCAAATTATTTCCTCAAAAATAGAACATAGTTCTGGTTGTTCAGAGACCCCCAAATCTACCAAGTCTTTCAAATTTCTACAATTATAGGCCTCATTATAATCAACTCTAAAAATTTTACAAATTTTGATCATGAACCCCCTGGTATTTAATTGTATTTCATTTGACGGATTCTGATCATCTAGTCTTTTGAACCCCTGATGTTCAGATACATACATTACACCAAGCTGGGTTAATTCTGATGGCCGACCAGCTTATCACAAGTCAAGTGGTGTCAAGACAGATCCAATTTTTAAAATTTTGGAACATATGATGGTGTGCTTGAAAGGATGCATATTTCAGGGGGGCATTTCAAATCCTAGAGGATAGTGTGTTTCTTGCAAATGCTCTGGAATAATCAGTGACTGCAAGGAAACACGGTGGTCTAGAGTTATATTGTGATATGTAGTATTTCATCCCTAGCTCATATAGCTTGAGAGGACCAAAGTGGATGACCACTCCAGGATTTGTATTTATAGCCATTCTCTGCTTGGTGCATTCAGTTAAATCCCCATATCTTTGCATCCCTTTCCAATTGGACAGTATCAAGATTTGTGATCTTGTAAAGAATCAGATCCACCGTGAGATTTCGTGAGCTTTCAATACAGCCCCATCATCGATTATTCTTATTCTCATGTGTCTGTTTTCAGGTCCATATAATTTTGTGATCACTCTTAATATTATAAACTTCCAATGAAACTGCTTGAAAATTGTCTCTGTATCTTCTCATTGGGAAACCCCACGCGGTGATCTTCAAAGCAATAATAAGTTGAAGGCCTATAAGTTGTGATGCGTTCCATCGTTACTTTCAAGTTCTTCATAACAATGTTTTCCATTTTGATTGTCAGAAAGGGGGATATAACTCTTCGGGTGGATGTGGATCGAATATTTACGTCGTATCGATCGACGGTCGTGATCCAAGACGATGTGCTGTGCCAGCTCGTCGCAAAAACTCGATTGAAGCATATTGCGTCGCGGTTGCTTATACAGGGGGGGCGGGCCGGAGACTGCGTGCTGCGGGAGGGCTTTTTTCGCCGCGCGGGTGCCCTAGCAGCAACCCTAAGTGGAGCGGTGTGTGTGAGTCTCATCAGTCCCGGGTGGGGCTTGGCTGGGCAGGCAGCTCTCCTGGTGACCACACCGGCGGGCAAATTGCGAGTATCCATCAAGCCACTCAGCAAGAACGCATCGACCCTTCCTCCTCAAGGTTCATTCACGATGTCGGGCGTAAGTCAACTCTCGCCTTACCACCACCACCACCCCTCTAGGCCAACCAATGACCTCAAAGATATATATTGGCTGACCAATTTTCCTATTGTTCTCCTTTGGCCGTCCTACGCCAATTATTATCGTCGTCTTCTTTTCTCGTGGATGTCGCCGGATCTTCTAGCACAAGGAACACACCCTGCCTACTTTCCAACGATTTGTAGAGGTGGGCCGTGTGGTGCTCATCAACGACCCGTCATCCCCCTCCAACGGAAAATTGGCCACCATCGTTGAAATCATCGACCACGGCCGCGCTCTCATTGATGGTCCTACCACATCCGTCCCTCGCCAATCGATCGCTTTCCGAAGAGTGATCCTCACTCCCTTCCTCATCAAGGGTCTTCCCCGTGGATCCCGGGCCGCCACCGTCGGAAAGGCCTTCGAGAAGGCTGAAATCGCCAAGAAGTGGGAAGCCAGTGGATGGAAGAGAAACATTGATTCGAAGACTACCAGAAGATCACTCACCGACTTCCAACGGTAAGAACCGCTTCCCTCAATCACCCGTTTCATCCCTCTTCCACTCCCGCTGACTCTCCACATACCTTTTGACCTAATAATTGATCCACTCTTCCAGATTCGAGGTTATGATTTTGAAGCGACAACGACGGGACATCATCAACAAAGGTCTCGTGAAAGCCAAGAAAGTACAAGCATAAACGTTGAATCAATTTTTGTGTACTTTAACCCACTTGACCCACCTCACCTGCTCCCTCCCTCCCCCCCCCCCATCATCTCATCCCCTCCGCCCATTTCCACCTGCGTGTGTGTGTTGTAACCCACTTTGAGACCAATGGTGATCAAATGGGCCTTGCTCAACAACCATATCGGGACTATGCGACCCTCTATGCAACCTAATGACCTTGATATGCCAATGTCTCTGCAATTCTGTAAGATCTACCCAAAGGTAATTGCTTGGATCGTCTCTCGTCCACTTAGCCCATCAGACGCGCCATGTCTTGTGATTAGTTGTACGAGTCTCTTTTGCCACCAAGAGTCTGTTGCATATGAATGCCTTCAAAGCTTTGTCAAATTGCCTCCTAGCTGGGAAATACATTTCCAGTCACCAATCATATTGCTTGAGAGTCCAAGATCTCCAGCACTGCTGTCTGGGACTAGCCTCATAAGCTTATCTCGTAAGTCCGTCTACGCGGCCTACTACCGGAAAATTGTGTCACAGGACGTACTGTTATGGTAATCGGACTCTGCCAGGACTGCGCTCTCGAGTCTCAAGCTTGCACTGAAACTATGATGTAAAAGACTTGCAGATCCATCTGGCAGTCTACAATTGTCTACAGGATGTTGAAACATTCCAACCCGACCAAAAGAAAAAAATAATTGATACAAGTCCAACGATCCCTCGAAGCATCAGTAAGTGACAACCTTCGTAAGGGGTTTGTTTGTCCAAGAAACAGGCCAACTTTGAGAGCTTGGTCTTGTTTCTTCCTATCCCAAAACTCATGTGTCATTTGTTTCACTCGGAACAAATGACACTATGATCAGGAAGGCTTGGGGCTCTGTTGATCTGATATGAATATTATTATCAAGTCTGCAAAAAAAAAAATGATGATGAAAGACAAAATAAGGAAAATGACAAAAGAAAAAATCGAAAAAGACAGTTTTGAGAGAGCAAGTGTGACAGAAAAAAACAAGTGGGCTGATGAGCTTATTTACAGGAGAGCTAGATGTACATACATTCGAGATGAGGATGGAAATGCGAAGTCAAGGTCAGAAAAAACAAACCAATCAATCAACCAAAAGGGCTTTGTGTTAGAACGGTTGATCACATCAGATTATGAATGGAAAACAAACGAGAACGAGAATGGGGGGGAAAAAAAATGAACGGATATCTTCAGCATTTATTTTGGAACAAAAAAAAAAGCAGGGAAACAAGCGAAAGCGAATGTGTAATTGGGAGTCCGATTAAACAAGTCTGAAGAGGAAAAAAGGAAAGAAAAGGAAAAAAAAAATTCGGCGGGTATTTTTTTGGGGGGGGGGGGGGTTTCATTGGAAAGGGAGGTGGAAAAAGACCATGTGAAGCATTATGACGTTGGGTGAGGGAATTGAGGTGGAGGAAGAGAAGAGGAAGAGAAAGAGAGAGAGGCGGGCAAAAGATCATGTGACACGTTTTGAGGCGGATCCATCACGGACGAATGAATTCCATTGAGAGCGGGACTCGTGGATGAGGTCCTGGATATCGTGACGATTGTGTAGTTTGCGAATCGAGCGGAGCCAGCGGGACGAGTTTTCCATCTCGAACCGGCCGCCCAGAGTGGACAAGATCTCCTCGAAATCATGCCCGGGTCCGATCTTGCTCCGAAGACAATAGACAAGCGACACTGCTGCGAGGATCAGGACGTCCATCCCTTTCAGGAAGAAGGCGTCCCATAGCCTTAGTTGGGCTTCGTATGGTACCGTGTTCGCAAAGATCGTGATGTACCATTTCGTCGCGTATGCTGAACTTGAAATCATCTGCTTTTCCTGGTGACATGAAAAAAAAGGTAATCAATGAATTGATTATTTTAGAAGAGAAAAAAAAAGAAAGGGTATGAAGCGGTTTGCTTACAAAAGTGGCATGAACAGCTGGTATTAAATATTCAATCAGCCGTTCTTGAATATAAAAACATTCCAATAATCCAGGAAATCCGGGAGAGAAGATGTTGTGAAATTGAAGATTGTCATGAATCCGAACCATACAGACAAATGCATCCTGGAGTTACCAAATTAATTGTTTGGACAGTAGCATAAGAAGGAAAGGTTACAGAGGAAGAATGGATTAAATAAATCAATACACAAATCATACACAGGCCAACAGGAAAAAAAATTGTAACAAAGATCTTACCTCTGCGCTAAAATAGCTCAAAAGTGTTGTTGCTATGGGACCCATGCCTTGACAATATCCGCATGTTTTGCAGTACATTCCAAATGTGTGGAGTACCTGGAAAAGTGCGCGCTGTCTGTCAGATAGAAACCAAATATATAAATAGTACTAGTCAATATCTGATTGATTTATTACTGCGTAGTGAGTGGTGATCAAATTATCTACCCTTTACCATAGCGGGTGTGAAAGAAGATATGGCCATTGATTGTTCGGGGTACGTCGAGGTCGATTTGGACGTCCTGTTCACTGGGGGTGGTAAGTAGAGCATTGAACTGTTGATGTAGGCGTTGGATGGTAGGACGTGTTGAGGATTGACGAGGGTGATCAGTTTCGGCCAGGAGCATCTCCCAGGCAGCTCGCCTCCAACGGTCAGGGATCCCCTTGAAGCACCTCTTCTCGAATCGGTTCTGCTGCTGATGCCATTCTGGTTTGAGCTGATAGGCCGATTGACTTGAGCCTGAGTCACGTGAGCTGGCCGTCAACATCTCTGTCCATTTTTCGATCCGATTCGTCTCCTGGATCAATAGGTCATGGTTGGTTGAGTTGAGGGCTGAAGGGCTAGTGGCTAGGATCGGATCTGAGGTGGTGGAGACGCCGGTTGGATAGAATGCATCTGAGGGCAGATAGAGTACACGTTCGGAGGACATCGGCTTGAAGAATCCATATCGGTCTGCGTTCCCTAGGATCTGGATTTCTGCGTCTGAGAGTGAGTCTGAATGGGCGGCAGCCGCAAGTTGAGTGAGTGAGGCCAGTGCTGACAACCTCCGATGTTCCCGAGTTCTTTCGATGCCTTCATGAAATCCATCCCCTGGTACGCCGACTTTGTCGAGATAAGTATAAACCTGGTGGACATGCTGGGCGGACTCTAGGTCGATGGTGGCCGATGGATGCTGGGATGGAGAGGCGGCCATCGTAAATAGTTGAAGTGTAGTCAGATAGTTCAGTTAGAGGTCGTATATCTATCTGGTCGATGTGTGTTGTAAGTGGCAGGGGAGAGAAAGGAAGATTAAGGAAGTAGGAGATATGCAGAAGAGATAAGCTAGCTGGGGGGGTGGGGGTGGTCAACAGGGAGATAGATTTGAGTGAAGCAGCCGAGAGAGACGGAGAGTCAGAGGGGGATGGGAATGATTGTGGATGGACCGAAGCAGACGGATTAAGTAAGCCAGTTCAATTAATCCAAACTTTAAGGTACTGCTCAGCTGGGAGAGGAGGATTACGTCATCGGCCGAGTCAGCATACACTCAACTGGAGTCTGGGTGTGCCGAGTTCGGTTGTCGAGTCTGGGGGTCTGTTCTGGTCTGTTCACCCAAGCAAGCCCAACTATCTATTCTGCTGACCTGGCCACGAATGCAGGAAATTCAGGAATCCGGAGCGACATCGGCAATGCATGCAACACACACTCGGAGTCGCACCAGCCAGGAAGGATCCGCCCAGTTTTGTGCGTCTCGATCGACTCATGCAGATGGCATGCACCGAAGCCTTTGATCAGTCCCTCGGGCTTCGACGACAACCCAGCGTCGGCGACAACCCAGCTTCGGCTCTTGCTCATGGGAAGTGGCAACACCAGTCAATTGATTTTTGAGTGCCACAACACCCCCAGGGAAATGAAACAACAACGGCTGACTGGGAAAACAATCAAACAATTTCGCCCCTGCCCCCGATTTTTGAAGTGTGCGCCTTACTGCTGTCAGCCAAAATAACCAATGGACTTCGAATGGAATCCTTGCATAGTCTATCCGGCATATGTATCCGACAAAATTCCTTTCGGAGTGCAGCCGATCGAGCTCTGTGAGGGAGCCATGCCCCTTGTACACGCACTCCAACTAGGCTACATAGATGAGTTTGATGACAGTGGCAGCTTCATTCACCCATCTACATAGCAATACCATAAATGTCTGCAGATGTTGTTGATAGAGGAAGAAGCCATTTGGATCCCAGGATACATTCTGGTGAGTTCACAGTGATCCGGTCGTGCGCTCGGAGTCGAGTGGATAAAATTCAGGCTTCCAAGAGACTAGAGTGAATCTGCACCTGACAGTAAAATCAATCCAATCTACAAATCAATCCGGCCAGTAGCTTCTCAGATAGAGTGCAAATCAACGTGCTTTATCAGCCTAGCTTCACCTCCAATAGGTTGCTATAGATGGAGATGCCAATTCGACCAATCTAGGGCGTATTCATTCACTATTGGAGTTGAATTTTGGGTTCGAAAGTGAAGGCAATCAAGCTGTCTATTCTAAGTGTTCAACGCGCAAATAATACACCAACACATCATGTGAGGGAAATAAGACTCATTCATGAAGGGAACTGAATTGGATTATTTGCTGCTTAAGGCTTCAAGGGCAGCGGGGCCAGCCCTAAGTTACATTTCAAGATTATGCAAACCTCTAGAGTTTTTTTTTTCTCTTCAAAACAGGGCAATAATTCCCAATTGTCTGGACTTGCAGCTTGAAGCCTAGTATGTGTGGCACGAATGCCCCTTTCGGAGAGAGGAGACTCTTGACGCCTCTTGGCACCCACTGAAACCGGCAAATTGCGTTGATCAGTAGAAAGAATCTATTTTGAGCCCTCGGAGCTAGGGAACTAGTAGTAGCAAGGGGCGGCCATTAGCAATAATGTTGAACTTAACCACGCACGAAGTTCAACACAAGTGCCGGCTGGACTCTCTTCTGTGCACTTCAAAAAACTTAACTGTCTACGGCTCACCAGGTGGACGGCAAAGTTGGCCCGGAAATTGATACCTGCCGGCCGTTGGTACGAATCCCAATCGACACCTCGTACCTTCAAACATCCGTCCATTTCAAAGGGTTTTTTTCAACTTGTTTGAGTGCTGGTCCGGAACGTGTGCTTATTGTCGTACGGATCCAATATGTTGAAGTTTGAACGGAGGCGGGGATGTCTTTCCGCAGGGTGAAGCACCCCACTTGTAAGTTATTGGTTGTGACGTCGGGATTCTTCCTGATTGTGCCGCAAGCCAATTTTAGAGTTAGTTGCAGGATGCATTATGACGGTAATGACCCACATGGCAGTCGCAAAAGTTTTGGATTAGATCAACTATTCGGGTGATACTGTAGATAAAATGATGCTCTCTTCTCAGAAATGGCTATGTGTGTATTCGCCGGCCGAGTCCCCCCAGCACTGCGTAATAGGTATCAGATTTTGTAGATGTACTGCACGCTATCAAGCAGAAGCATGACATCATTAACGTCGTCACTCCGAGTCCAATGAGCATCAATGTCAGGCTTATGTGCCCAGCAGATGTATACAGTCTCCGTAGGCTTGGTGAGCGTCCACTGGCATGTTGTAAGTTAAACTTGTATGTGATCAAACTTCAGAAAGAAGCTTTATGATACTTTAGAACAACGCGATGTTAAATCGTCTTTAGACTTGGAGCTATAATGAAGTGAGAATTATGTACTGCATCAATGACTCAGTTCAGCGCATGTTGATATTAGCTTCAACAGGGCAGACACAGTATGTTTAAACCTGTATGGAACAGGTATCAAATCCGGGAAAACTGAATGGCTATTTGAAGTGCAAACGTATGCCGTCTGCCGCTGTCTGCCGGCCCCAGCCATCCACCTCTACGACTCATCTGATCGGAAAGTCCCGAGTTTTCTTCCGAAGACACTCGAGTTTACCTTTCACTCAACCAATTTCGCCCCGCGTTTTTAATGATGATTCCTCCCGGATCCTGAAGCAAGATGGAGTCCCAGGATGCATTGGACTAGCTATCGGAATAGTTTCAGTCTAAGCAAGCTAAACCACACGTTTACAGCTCCCGGTGGAATGTGAGAGCTGCGCTAGCCTGGTTCTTCAGCCAACGTGTACTTGACTCCCGCTTATAATCGAGACGGCTGTTCAGCTATCAATCTTTGGTCAAGCAGACTGACCTGTCCGTCTTTTCCTCGTACCGGCCTCGCGCTAATATTTTCGCTTCAGTACCAGCACTCCAGGCCATCGAGCAAGAATGGTCGTTTTACAGCTTTCGAAAAACGGACATATGTTATGCTTTCAAATTCTAGTCTGCATCCACCATATCGTTCACTTGATCCACGGAGCTCCAATGCACCCCCCACCAGGTTTTGCACAGTCCCCTATAAGCTCACCCGCTCATTGGAATGTTGCCCATGATGCCGGAAATAGTGCTGTTCCTCAAGGCTTTTCGGTCGTACAAACTGCCCTACCTGCGGTCCAGCCTGTATGGAAACATAGTTTTGTGCCTGTGGCATACGCCGATCACTGGTCGTGTGAGTATGAACCGGTTACATGGATCACCAATCATCTCGTTCCAAACCCACAACAAGCGCAACGACAAGGAACTGGTGTGTGGCTACGGCCAGACGCGGTTCCATCTCAATCAGCTTATTCGGGCGGCAGACACAGAGAATCACTGACACGAGAGAGAGTGCCCTACGAGCAAACAGATCACTCTAGATTTCGTGATCCATCCAGAGCAAATACCAACCTGAAATCAGATGGTGCCGCTGACGCCTCTAAAGTTCAACCACAAGTCGTAACGGCCTTGGACGGTACTAGAGATTCAGTGCCAGACCCCTTGGTGAGTGGAATTCAAAATGAAAAATCCCAGACCATATTAGACTACTAATTCACCTGAAAACCACTTTCTTTTTCGCAGCAGAAGGGCAATGCTGCAAGGAAACGTAAAGGATTGATCCCAGCGCCTATTGTCATACCTCCAAGAAGTTTCAATCCGAGCGGAGTAGGGATGAAAGGCAAGTCTTGGCCATACTTTCCGGCAAAAGATGAGGAAAGGATCGTGAACAGAGCAGGTATTACATCCGAGGAAACTCAACTCCCGACACAAAATCAGGAAACAAAAATTGATCGAGCCGTAAACAAAGCCGGGAATGCATCCGATTCCCACCAAACACAGGGTCAACACGCGCCGGACCTGGCATTACCGAACTCTGCGAAGGAAAAAGAAAGTGCAACCGATCAGGTTCGGAAATCTGACTCCAGTGAATATTCGCTTCCTCCACACAAGACTGTTGCAGATGCTGGCAGAGGCGATCACCAAAATAAAATCTCTCAAACAGGAAATGATAGGGTCATGAACATTCCCATTGAATCAATCAAGACAGGTAGGGAGGCTCACATTGAAGGTAAAACTACAGCTCCAACCCCATCAGCTCAAACTCAATTTGACTCCGAGAACCACTTTGGAATCCCAATAAATGCTCCTGTGCTGGCTCCTCAAAGCAGCCTCGGGCCTGCCGAGCATGGAACACAACTGGTCCCTTCTGCGGACTCGAAGAAGACAGAACCTAATCTGAATAAGAAGGATGTCTCCCAAAGTCAGAGAGGCGAATCATCAGCCTCTTCTGATATGACGTTGAACGAAAATCAGAGCCCTAAAAAAGAAACTATTTCGCCGATGAAGGCTCCCATTAAATCGACCAAACCAAGCAGTGAGGAGAGCGTTGGAAGTCAAGTTGCGACTCCGACTACCCACGCAGATCGAAATCACTTCTCCTCAGAGAACCACTTGGGAGTCCCAAAACAAGATGCTGGGGAAACCCCTAAAATCAGTCCCGGCCCAGCAGAAAACGGAATACATGTGCCAGCTGCCGTACAATCTTTCAAAAGCGCGCTTTTGAAAAACACTGTCACTTCTGACGCCGGGAAGAAGACTGAAGGAGAGGAACAAATGATTGAACAAACCATTCCGAATCTACGGGCTCATTCAATAAACGCTCAGGATACCAAGCCTGGTAGAATATCTTCAAATCATTCGGTCAAGTCGAAGCCGCAAAATTTTCAATATCAGCCCGTCCTTGCCAAAAAAATTGCAAACTCTCAGGCTAGTAAAAAAACTCCAATTATCGATCCTATTTCCGCTGCAACTGAAACCAAGGGCCAAAAACGAAATATAAAAGATAACCCACTAAAGAAAAAGATTAACACGAGTACTTCTGAAGTTCAAAATGACCCGGGTGGTGCTACCTTGAAGAATCGATTCGAAAAAATTGCAAACAAGTAAGCTTGAAACGTACTTAATATATTTTGATTATTGACATAATGATTTTCTATCGAACAGGGATACTCGGGCACAAGATGGGACTGCCCTTGGTTCGAAAGACAGTCACCTGAGATCATCTGATATGGACTCCAAGCCTGAGATTGATTCGACATTGCTGGATCAAGAAGTCCCTCGCAAAGAAACATCTGCACCCGAGAATCAAGAAGCCCATCCAGAAAAGGTCGAGAGTACAATTACAAAGTCAAACCAAAGGTAAGCCTCTCGGCGATCTTCAGACTTCCAGAAGCGAACTATTTACAGTTTTTTTTTGTTTCAAATCCATTACCAAAAAGTAACAATGAGAATGAGCAGATGGCTGCGATTTTGGAGAAGGGAAACGAAACTCCTCCAGAACACTCAAATAAAAGAAAAAAGAAAAAGAAATCCAAAAGCCCAAAAACAAGCCCAGACAAATCCGAAGCTATCGAAGCGCATGAAGATCCGAGAAAGTGCATGGTCTTTTCCTGATCTTGTTCCTCATCGACTTGGAGCGATCTGATTAAAAATGTTTTTTGTTTTTTTCTTTGGACCAAATCTTAGTGTCATTACGGATCCAGAAAAGCAGGTTCCAGACAAAGATGACGAAACCCAGGAAGCAGCCAGAAAGAAAGTAGAAGTCAAATTTGACGAACAGGTAAGCATCAGTTTACGCGTGTTAAAAGTGTGAAGTAAAGCGGACCACTGAATTTATCCCAATTTGGGTGTTCACTCATCGCGACCTATATTATTTCATGGCAATTCGGATCTAATAGCGCAAGCTCTTAGAGATGGATTTCGAGATGAAGAAATTGAAACCAAAAAGTCGACACCGCTTGGATGAAGAAGCGAGTCTTTACGAACGATTGTACTTAGCCTTTCACCCTGGATCAAATCTTGCTGAAGATGAGATTTTTCCGGGAATCAAGAGGCCTAAACCTACCTATAAGCTTGTTGAGGATAAGGCCATTGACCCCCCCGAAGCGGATCCACAACACAAGACAGAAGAAGTCGATGATCCAAATCTCAAGAAACGGCTCGAGTTCTGGGACCCTGAATGGGTGCAGACGTGGAAGAGCAGAAACCTGGACTTGAATCTAATGGATAATTTATCGCGTCATTTGAAAGTGAAAGACAAAACCCCAGACTTAGCTTTGGAAGATATGAAGCTTGATAGATACCAGCTTTTTAGGGACATTTGTTCCCAGAACCAGAAGAAATTCATGCAGGCTCAGTTCTGGATCAGTGGCGATGAGATACTTGAGGTCGACGAAACTAAACGACGAATGAAAACGACAATCAAACAGATTTCTGAACTCACGATCCTCGAAAACTGGAAGCTCATTGGGCCTGAATTGATTAACAGGAAACTTCTGACAAGGAAGGAGGTCGAAAAGATCGAAAGTTTCTACAACCTCTCAATCTATTTTCCAAATCCAATAAACTATTTACCGAAGAGGCCACTTGGAGCCATCAAAGATAAGAGGAAGGATGTCTTGGAAGACATCGAGAAATCCTTAGGAATCGACCACTCCATGCGACCGAAACCATTGCCAATCCACACTTTTCCAGACAAGAGTCCGATTTCGAGATCACGACGGGAACTTTATGAGAGCAGCAGACACAATGGAGTCGATATAATCACAGTCTTGTTTGTAGCAAGATTATATAATGCCGGCCCTCAGGCGAAAGCAAGCCTGGCCAAAATGCTGGAAGAATCCACACGAGACGAATTGGTCCCATGGCACATTTGTGCCGAAAGACATTGGCTGATCAAATACTTTAATGGTACTGCTTGATTTTGGCTGGCTAAGCAGATAATAACTTTTCCGCTGTCATTTCGTATGCGAATTGAATCAAAAATATTTTATATTTGACAGAAGATAGAGTAGTATACTTACAGTTCATTCCTAATAAAAAAAAACGTAATTATATTGTGCTCTTTCCTTCTTAGTTAATTGAATTACCTGTAGAATTGAAGCAGCAAAAGTCTTTGTAGCTTTGGGACAACTAGAATCTCTTCTAAAAAGGAGCCCCATTTATGCTGTCTCTTCATGTTCATTGAAAACCCAATCCATATCTGATCTATTTTCTTGTGGCACACATGATCAACAGGAGAAAAGGAAAAGTCAACGCAACAACCACTGCAAAAAACAAGGATGTTTTTCAAGTTGCCAGTTCATGTTTCTTGGTTGTGTGGCAATCTACTTTGTGGCATGGTCAGTAACAGTAATGTTTGTTTTGTTGTTAATCATATACATATCTAGGTATGTATATATGTTTAGAAAAAAGCAACAGAGAAAAAAAGCAGCTATTTTTATCAATTTATTCTACATAGAAAGGGAAAAACAACATGTCTAAAGATCAAAATGAATTATGAGTTCTGGTTCTTTGGAGAGCGATCAAAAGGCATAATGATTGTTCCGATCGTTAATGCAATCAGATGCTTGAAGTTGATCTGCGAATTAGTAATTGTGGTCTTGGTGCTAATATGAGAGGCTTGAGGGGGCAACGGCGGTCGAGTCATCTCTAAAGGTTGATTGGTTATCAAATGAATCCAATCCTTCTAGAAGATTGTGACTCTTCGTTAAGATGCACTCTCCTCCGTTTTCCAGGTCAATCGAATAAACGTAGAACAATCCTTCAGATGAAACAACCATGACGTGAGGCGAATTGCTAATGTATTGTTGTCCCCCAGAGAATCAATCTGTGTTAGCTTTTCTCAATCTAAGAAGAATGGTAAAAAGAGTTCAACTCAACCCGCTCATAGCCACCACTGTTCTAACTCCACTTGTAGGCAGCTTTAAGGAGGCAAAGTCCCTCTGGGGTTCCCACAGCTCGGTGATCGTATTTGGTAAATATCCACCCGCTGCACCGGCCAAGCTTCTACCAATGTTGAATGACTTTTTCCTCAGACTACCGCTGTTACGATGTGTGATCAGATTGGTAATCCACAAGTTCAGTCAACTGTACTCGAGTAGTGATTGGAAAGGGTGATAAGAAAATGGGGGGGGGGCAAGTGATTTACCCAAGAGAGATTGATGAACCTCGTTTCTTATCGATAAAAGCCTGATAACCACTCGATTGACCACCTTCTCCACTATCTGACCGACCTCCCTGATATCTTCCGGCTGACGAGCTCGTTATCGATTCATTGTCATCCTCATAAGGTGCATCGGTTAGATCACCCGTCGACAGTGCCCGATCACCAGCGCCCAAAGCTTTCCGACTCGAGGATTTCTGGGCACGAGATACGAGTTTGAAGATGTGAACCGTATCGGTGTCCGAGCTCACTGCCAACAAGCTCGAGACACAGTTAAACGAGATCGAGAAGATTCGGGCCGAATAGGAACCTCGCCGGAATTGAAGTACTTTCTGTCCGTTTGGAACCGAGAAGACTCTGATTACCGTTCCTTTATCTGAGGCAGTTGCCATTAAAGTACCCGTCGAGTTGAAAGAGATTATTGCCAGGGGTGCTTTATGTGCTTGGATGACGTTTGTAACCGAGAGAGTGATGGCGTCATAAATCAGTACATCGCCATGATTGGCCATGGCTGATGGATCTGGTGGAGGGGGAATGTTTGAGATTGGTCCAGAGACTTCGGAGAGTGGTAAGGAGGAAGGGTAGGCCAAGTAGCTATTTTCGGATGATGGTGCCAGTGCACAGACAGCTGTGTGTTGAAGTAAGATAGACAGTCAGCGTGCCTCGCTTCTGGTGCTCTCGATCGGCAAGGATATAACGAAAATGAACTATGCTTCGATATAAAAGGGAAGAATGACTGACCACTAGGATTTGGATAAGTTTCAAAGGATTGCAATAGTTTCATGTTTCCAATATCATAGACGTAAATCTCTTCCTCAAGAACTACGACCAGCCTTCTCCTGTTTAGTTTGACTGCCAAGACGGATGTTGGGAACATGAGTTCGCATATCATTGACTGCCTCTAAGAAGTGATTAAGATTTAAATCCACGTTTCCGATGAGACAACCGGGGGAAAATGAAACATAGATCAGTTAGTATTTTCAGCTCAAGGAAGAGAGAGAGAGAGAGAGGTGGATATAATCAAGATTACCTTGGTGTTGATAATTTGAAGTTTCCTGGTTGAATATGATGGCCGGTCACCTGTACCAACTATGGCGACCAACGAAGTACAAAACAGCATTTCCATGATGCCTACCGCACCATCGGCTGATCACCCCCGCCAAACAAACACATTTGAGTAATTTGTCTCAGTTTTCCGTTGGTTCATTTCCTCTGATTTATGATGGAAATGAAGCAGGATGCCTACCCTTCCCGTAGACCCTCCCGAATGGTTCACAGTTCGTAATCGCATAGCCCGATCGGGTGCCGACACTGATACAAGTATAATCCTGATTGAAGTTTACACAGAGTAAGGATGGGTCTGACTTGTAAGTGGTCTTGATGTTCGGATCGTACGGTCTTGATGAGCCAGGCATGAAGTTGGAGATCGGCTGAGCTGGTTCTAAGTTTCGAGGTGGTTGTTGTTGGTTGTTGACTGTTGGCTGTTGGCTGTTGACTGCTGGGCTTTTTTGGGTTTTGGTGGCTGCTGGTGTGAGAGCAGGGCTGCCAGTGCCACCCCGTAGTAAGCCATACCTACCACCCGAGCGCACCGCGCACCGAGCAGCTCTCCAGTAACCCATAACCCATTCCTCGTGACTTCATTGAATCATGACTTCATGAGGACAGTTAACAGCTTGGCAAAAGGAAAGGCGGACTGGACTCTTGATCAGAACCAAGTTGTTTAATAAAAGAAATTATTCAGTTAACTCAATGGAATTGCTCAATCCCCCCCCCTATGGAGGCATGAGCGTGCCATTTTGGCCACAAATAATCCATTTTGAAATTTTAATTTTCATGCAGCATACAGGAGCCAACTTGGCCAATACAGTGAGATACAGGTAATATACATGCCCACCAGCAATACTCCACTATGTTTCATCCAACCCCCCCCCCCCACACCCATACCATACATAGTTACGTGTTGTAAAGCTATCCACCCACACCAATACCATACAACCAACGAAATAACCATCCCAGTAACACTACATCCAATCAGCCTATTGTACCTCTCCAACACTATGCGTATCACTCTTCAAAATTTCGGCCACGAGTTCCAAAGCATTGTTAGCGAATTAATTAATGCTGGCCATAATGATAACGAAATCAGACAATTCCTCCAGGAAAATCACTCGATCATTGTTTCCCAACGCACACTAACCCGACGCAAAGAAGACTGGGGCTTGATCCTGCATGCCTCTCAGCAAATGGCCAACACTGAAGAGCACATCAAGAAGTATTTCGACCAAGGCTTGACCTACTCGCAAATCCATCATGCACTAACTACTTCTCACAACTATACTCACTCCAAGCGTACCCTCCAGAGGAAGATTACGGCGATGCAGCTCTCAAGGAGGTTGGACGACTTGGATACCGCACGAGTGACCATCGAGGCCGTTGTATCATGTGTAATGCATCTCCACCTGACTCCAGAGGGAAGGAATGTTGGCTACCGACGTATGCGACAGCTCCTCCAGACAAAGTTTGGCATCACCCTCCACTAGTAAGTTTCCAAACTCCATGAATAAGCTTGAAGTAACACCAATTTGTTCCTTTCTTCATCACTTTCTCAATTTTCCACACCTTAGCATCACAGTTGCACTCATCAATCGTACACTGGACCCCGATGGTGTGGAAAATCGAGCCAAGAGGGTACTCAAGCGAAGGGTCTTCAAAACACCAGGGCCCAACTACATATGGTCAGCAGATGGTCACGACAAGTTGAAAAAATTTGGAATTACTTTATACGGGTTCATCGATGCCTGGAGCCGCAAGATCCTCGGTATTTATGTCCACATCACCAACAACGATCCCCGCCACATCGGTTATTACTATCTTCAGCTGGTCAAAGAAACAGGAGGAATTCCGCGGCGTACATCTACTGATAAAGGGACTGAGACAATTCACCTGGCCGGCCATCAGATCAACCTCACTCAGCAATACAACGAAGAATCTATCGACCCAACTCAATCCCATCTCTTCACCAAAAGCACACATAACCAGAAAATCGAGTGCCTGTGGTCCCAGCTTATGAAACAGTACAACAGTGAGCTGATCAACAAACTCTTTACGGCCATCGAAGAAAGTTTTTATGACCCCCAAGACCCTCTCGAGCAGTGAGTAAAACATCTACATCAGAGCCTCTTGGAAATAGACATGGAAAATTCTGATGTTTTCTGCTACTTTTCAGACTATTATTTATCTATCTGTGGGTCCCACTTGTTCAAAGAAGCCTGGACGATTGGACGAATAATTACAACACATACAAACGGCGCCTGGACAAAAAGAGTAGCCTGCCCACGCGCTGCAGTGCCGACTGGTGCTTCAACTACCCCGAAGAGCAAGGAGGGGAACAGGGACTTATTAAAGTGCCCAGTGAGGCTGCTGATGCATTAGAGAAGGAGTTTTACCCGGAAGGCGATGAACTACTTCGAACCACACCAAAATGGTTCTCCGACATTATTGCTGAACTTCAAGCTGCATTTGATCTAGCAATACCGATTGTAACTGTTCACAATGTTTGGGAGGTTTTTACAGTTTTGAACAAAGCCATCCAAGCATATGATACTGCTTGGCTTTCTGATCCCTCCAATGACCCCTCTCTTTCAATAGCGGCCCGCTGTCTAGAAACTTAGCTCATTTAATTGTAGTGTTGATTATTCTTTCCGTGCTCAACAGACTTGCCTGCTTGTGTGAATTGATCTCTTCAAACTTCTGGATATTTGTGGGTGGTGGATGATGGTTTTTCATTATAATAAATACAACATACCTTGGGTTCTTTTTATTATTGAATGCCATCGGTCATCTCTTTGTGGCAATCATTATGATCTAAGTGGAATACCTTCATGTTTCTGTGACATCTCATGTGAAACCTCTGATATGAGATGCTTCGGTTGAGATGTAGCTCAGCCACCTCCATACTCTTCTCCTCTTTATTCAGGTGACCAAGCACTCAAGATCACACAGGTAAGTTATTTTCCGAACACTCTGAGGTCCTTGCTTTCACCTTACTTGTCCATCTGATTGGAGCTTCTAACATTACTGACCCTTCAGTTCCCCCAACTGCCCTGTGCTGTCATATCAAATGATCAAGAATACACAGCTACAAACCGTTCAGAATCTTCCAAATTGCTTACTCAAAGATTGCTAGACTGTCGAATCCATTGATCAACATTACACAGCCTTGACTTGTTTGTTTCTAAAGGGTTAAGGTCTCTTGTAAGTTCTTAAATCGTTGACCTCTCTTGTTTTTTCCTAAACGATCTGATAATAACTCATCAACCAAGCTAATCAAGTGATAATCACTGATCCCTGGTCTAATTGCTCCTTTGATTCTCTAATCAATCAATAATATAACACCCCAATCAATGGATACAAGGTCTAATCAAATAAGAAACACTCTCATCAATCCTTAAACACTCTCATCGATCAATCATCACCCACTGTACTCGATCAGTAACTGCTTCAATCAATTGATAACTGCCTGAATTGATCAATAACCACTTGAATCGATCAATAATCGCTTTAATTGATCAATAACTGCTTTAAACAATTGGTAACCGCCTTAATCAATCGATAATCACTTGAATTGATCGATAAACGCTTTAATCGATCGATAATCACTTGAATCGATTGATAAACGCTATAATCGATTGATAAACGCTATAACCAATCGATAAACGCTTTAATCGATTGATAATCACTTGAATCGATCGATAAATGCTATAATCGATCAATAAACGCTTTAATCAATCGATAACCGCTTTGATTGATCGATCATCACTTCAATCGATCGATAATTGCTTCGATCATTCGCTGAATGCTTTGTTTGATTGATAACTGCCCTGGTCAATCGATAACTGCTCCAATCGCTTGGTAACTGTCTAATCAATCAAGAAACGCACCTACCGATTGATAACCAGTCTAATATATCAAGAAATACTCCAATCGTTCAAGAAACACTCCGATCAATCAACAAACGCTCCGATCAACCCGTAAGCCCTCTGTTCAATTTGTAACCGTTGTAATTGATCGATCTGAACTCCGATTGATCAAGGCTATAATTGATTGCTAAACAGTATAATCAACCAATAAGTGCTCCTATCCATTGATAGATACTCTGGTTGGTTGTTAAACTCTCTATTCATCTGATAAGGGCACCGATTGATTGATAAATGCACTGATCAATCATTTAACCCTCTAATTGATAGATAAATCCACATATTGATTGATAAACAAACTGATTGATTGATAAACTGTCTAAAGGATCTGCTCCCCTGTCGGGTCTGTTCCCCAATCCCCTAATCTAATGATCCAGTTTGATCCCCAGAAGGCAGCTCATTGATTATTATCAATCTTCCTTTATTCTCTTGTCGATCAAGTTCCTAGATATACAATGAATATCAAATCTAAAATGATTCCTCGGCAGGCGCGGGGGTTGTTGATACATAATAAGGATTACAAAACTGGGTGCGCTGGAATTTCTTTTTAATCAAACTTTCAATTAATTGTTAAAACATTGAGGGAGGGGGTATTGGCTAGATATGGTGAATGAATGGCCAATAGATCTGTCAATATACCTTCAGTATTAACTTATAAAATGGGTGCATAGGGGCTTGCTTTGATGTGGTGAATGAATGGCCAATAGATCTAGCAAGCCCCCGAAATGCATCCATATGTCTTCTAAATCCTTCATATGTCTTCTAAATCCTATGTACACATGATACTCATAATTTTTTTCTATCTATCAATGCAGGCCCCCCACAGCCAAACAGGTTCGAGTGATGCTTAAGAATAAGAAGAGAAAAGAAGGTTGTAAGAAGCGATGGCGTCAAAAAACTCGAAAAGCCAGTGGGAACGAAGCCTCCACTGAGATCAAGAAGGGGCTATATCAGTTCACTGCAAGACCTTCTCCGGTATCCCTCTACGATGAGTACAGACAACGCAAAAAGAAGAAATATCTCACTCCAGCCTCGATCCTGCAGGCAGCCAACTTCATTAAAGCCCCTGGTTTCCGTATCTTCAACCGTCCCGATAGTCACGTGATGATATTTGATGAATATAATCAGAATCGACTAGTCCCAATATATTTCAGTTTACACCTTTCTCCAAGATGACACCCAACCAAAGAGAAGATCTCGATTTCCTAGCTGGCTTCTTCCATTCCCACAAGAAATACGTGAATCCAGTTTCCAACTTCAACTCGGCATGTCTTGGTGGCAAAATGAATATGCTCGGTTGGAGGAAATGCATGAAACCCAATGAACGAGCTGGCCTGTTTTTATCTCAGGCGAAAATCAACAAGGATGTTCATGGCTTCACCTCTGTGGTTCGACAGGGACATCAAGCTGGCGTCATCATCGGCAAATCGTTCAAGGATCTAGCCGACAATGCTTTTGCAAAGAACCATGACATCATGGTAGAATACGACATGCCCTCTTTTGGTGATGCAACCCTAGACGATCTCGAAGTAAACAATTTTTCAGCAGCGAGTTCTCTATCCTATACATACGGTGGATTTTACAATTCACCTCACACAGACGATCAAGATGTTTCAGAATTCGCCTATGTCCAATGGATCCCAACTTTTGCGAAGACTGGTAAGGTTGCTACTCATGCTGAGGGGTTCAATGTTGTTGGTGGCGAGTTTGTGTTTCCAGACTGTCGGTTCGGATTAGGCTTTGAGAACTTGGATGGGGTAGCGAGAATGGTCTGGCGGTCTACTGATTACAAGCATTTCACCATGTTTTCACAACCCAATTCAACCTTCAATCGCTTGGCTTTTTCGTTACAGCTAAACAAAAAGACAGTCAATGTTTTCAAGAATATTAAAACTCAAGAAGGAGCATATTTAAATATGCATGATGGTGATTTAAACTATATATTAGCCACTGCAGAAAAACAAAAAAAAAACCTAAAGTAGATTGTAGTTTGTGCATTTGTTAACCGAAATAAATATCTTGCCAGTTTCCTCAGTCTCTTGTCATTTTCTTCTATCTCCAGTGGTGCTCCACATTTATTTGAAGCCCCAGACTTGTGCATTCAATGAGAATGATTGTGATACCTTATCCAATTTGCAATAAATTTATCAGGACCTTTGCAAACAAGACATAATATTTCACGAAATTTATTTCTTGCATAAACTAATTGAACTTGGAAATCAAGGCCAAATGAGAAAACAAATGAAGTGGCATGTGAAAGAGATGTGTGATGCAAATGACAAAATATGGAAAACTAGAATAATTTGGACACAAGGGCTTTCTGACCCTGTCTGACTACTGCAAGGAGCTCCAACTGATCACTAGTCATTTGGGGCCGGGCTGAATTGTGATTGATGTTATTGAGGTGGTATTCTTGATGCGGCCTTAAGGACT